CGATATGGGGGTCATCGGCTTGCATCGCTCGCTCGGTGAGTCGCTAGGCAGTGGATATTTTTGCGTCGGGTGGCCCAGGTTTGGTTCCTGGCCGACGCATATTTGTTTAACATTATTTACGAAATATTGTTATCTCCAAACTGTGGGTAGCTTTTGGTTGCGGGGAGTCTACCCTTTCCTGACGTAGCGATATAAATAAATGTCCAGTCCGGTTTCTTTACCGACAAATATTTGTGTTCTCGTTGGCGAGACCACTCAATCACAGTCGAACTTCGAATTTCAAGAAATTTGGCTTTACATTTCTCTATATCAGAATGAACTTTGCTGGGAGTTTAATGTGTTAAGCACCGCAACAAAACAACGCCTTAGGCTAAAATTAAAGCTTGATGTGAAGGCGTATTTCCTCAACAAAGAAGGGCGAAATTCTAGCGCCTACTTTATTGTCTAAATGTCAGCCACGTTCTGAACCACACAACGGAAACACCAAGTTTCTCTAGAAAAGACACTAAAACATTATTTAAAAAGGAGTAAACTTAATGCCGTTACGTCACGCTATAGTCTGAACTTAGAATCAGCGCCGTTTTTCAGAAAGTATGGCAGGAAGCTTCGTGCGAGCGAACCCTCCGATGGCTTATCTGTGAAAACTCGCTGGAACCTGTCCTTTGGAAAGAAATATAATGCCATCTGTTCAATATAGAAGCGTGCGATTGTTATTATTAGAGTGAGTTGATCATAGCTATTAGTAGAAGTATATTTTAAATTTAAATTGAATATTCCCCTAATGGCGGTGTAAGTTTTGATTTCACTCTATATTTTTGTACTCTTTCTTTTATGTAACTTGCATAACCACAAGGGTCAAACAACAATAGAAGCCTCATTACTGTTTATTTCAAGGAATAATTGCAGCCTGCAGAAGAAAGGTCCGGAGTCAAGCCTACGACAACTAGTAAATATATTTTAAATTCTCGTTACGTACAAGCACGACGCCCTAAAGGCGTGACTAACATCCTCGTTCAAACTGTTCAAAGAGGTTCCCGGCGCAGAGGTGTAGTTCCCTCGAAAACACAGTCCGCTCCTGTTGCCCGTCGGTAGCAGAGATTTAGGTCATCGGCTTGCCCGACTTGCTCGGACAGTCGCTGGCTCTCTTCCTACGGCGCGTCGGTGGTTCAGTGGTAGAATACTCGCCTGCCACGCGGGTGGCCCGGGTTCGATTCCCGGCCGACGCAGGTTTGTTTCTATTTTTTTTTTTTTTTTAATTTAGCTTCAATACAAAAAAAAAGGGCTCTTTTCCCCTTTTTCTTTCCGCCCCCGCTTCAAAAGTTAAAAAAAAAAAGTAAGATGGGTGCAGATATTTCTTTTTGGCATAGTTCGGCTCTTAAATACGATAGCATTCCTTGTGTTCGTTGTAAAAGACTATAAATTGCATTTCCAGACGTGAGGACAGAACACGGGAAAATCGCTTGTGGGCAGGCGTCTCCCTGGATGTGATTAGACTTCTGAAGGATCTCCAAGACGAGTATAACTTTGAACACATTGCGAAACTAGCGGATTTAGAAAGAAATGTGCTGTTTACATGTTTTTTTATAATTTTCCCAGGGCCGTTTGGAGAACATTAATGGGCTCAGCGAAGGTGTCAGTAAAGTACTAAAGTACGAAGCCGTTATTGTTTAGTGATACAGGCCTATAGTAACAACGAAAGTTTAGTTAGGGACAGTAGGAAATTAGTTTTTTGTCTTTAAAGGTCAAATAAACACGCGAAGGAAAGTTTGAAAAAAAATGTACGAGAAAGAAAATTATTTTAGAGCGCAGCAAAAAAAAAAAAATTCAGAAAAGTTCTTAGTTTATATTTTTGGCTAGGAATTAGGTGACTGAGTTACGTGGTTACTAAGAGGACCCGACTCAGAGCAAATGCGCGCATTCGGGATTATGCACCGTGGAACTAAAGCAGGGTCAAGTCAATAGGGATGGTTTTCGCAGACATATTTTATAAGGGATAACCGACACGAGCGAGAGCCGAGAAGTGTCATTTAGGTGAGCAGCCTACACGACGAGCGATGAGCGAGGAACAGAAGCATACCCGTTTTTAGACCCCATCGCCCATTGAGTCCAAATTAAGCCAAACTATGGAGCCTGGAGCGCGTCTTCGACTGGCGCGTTTGGCGTCCTCTGCCACCCATACATCACAAGTGGCGTCGAAGTGGCGAAAAGTGACCTCACAGAAGCCCCCGTGTCATGGTGTTGCCTGTCGCGATCCTGGCTAAATTTAGCGGGGAAAATGACGTCACGTGACTCGGTGTCACGTCACCTAGTCACCTATGAAGAAATTCGGTTTCTCCCCTAGATTTACCGGGAAAATTGACTTCAGGTGACCTAAACAGCAATTTAGTTTCCGCGTTAAATTTAGCGGGAAAATTGACGTCACGAGGTCTCAACACTAATTCAGTTTCTCCACTAAATTTATCAGGGAAAATGACGTCACATGACTTGGTGTCACGTCGCTTATGAACAAATTCAGTTTCTCAGCTAGATTTAGCAGAAAAATTGACGTCACGGGACCTCAACATCAATTCAATTCTCCGCGAAATTTAGTAGGGAATTGAATTGCCGTTGAGGTCACATGGCGTCAATTTCTGAGCTAAATTTAGCGGGGAAACTGTGGGAAGAGGGGAGAGTATGAAGGAGGAGGAACGGAGGGTACGGAAGAGCAGGATGGCAGGATGGGGAGCAGGAGGGGAGAGGAGGAGGGGGAGGAGGAGAGAGGAGGAGGAGGAGAAGGAGGGGAGGAGCAGGAGCGGCATACCCTTCCCCCGCGTTCCCTCCCCTCTTCCTCCTCGCACGCTGCGCTTTTATTTCGCGTTACAGAGATTCATAAGGCGTTTTATTTTTTATTGTTTTATTTTTAAGCACCTATTACTCCCTGGAGGCTTTTTTTTTTAATTTTAAGTACCCTCAGGTCTAGGGGCATCACAGAGGGGAGTGATTCTCAGTAAGGCGATTTGTTACAACTCTCCGAAACAAGGCGCCGTCGCTGATGGTGACCATGTACTCCGGAAGATCGTTCCAGGTCACAGCGGCGTCGTGCAGGACAGAATAAAGGTAGGCCGTTTAGCTGAATTTGGGCCGGGCTATTTTGGAGGAATGATCAAACCTTAGAGGGACGTAAATAGAGGCTGGTTAACAAGGTACTAATCGAAGCTTGAGTAGTAATACATATTGTGCAGAAGACAAAGGCAGGAAATGTTACGACGGATAGGAAGTTCGTTAAGGCTGTGTTATACAGTGACGTTGATCGCAGCGAACTCAGCGTAGCGCAGAATGTACGACTTTCGTGGGCCGGCGAGCAGGAACTGGATATCTGTGTCCATTCAGTTTCTGGGAACTTTGCGCTACGCCGCCTTTGCTACTCTCAACGCCGGTTAATGTTAAGTTGAGCTTTCATGGCAGACAGACCGGAGAGACGCTAGTAGTCAGAAAGCATGAAAGGAACGACTTGGTTGTGGACCAATTTAGTTAAGTTTAATCAGATGAATTGGGGATGATTCCAAATCAATGCCCCATATCCTAATTTAGGGCGGACAATTCCTTACCGAAAAACCCATTGTATCTTTGCGCTATCTCGAATATGGAACTGGAAATCGTTCTAGGTTCTATCTGGATATCATGTTTTCATAAATTATTCCTTCGTCAGCAACCTGAATTTTAGGTCTCCAAAATCAAATATTCAGTTCCACAATCCGGATAGTGAAAAGTTATACTGAGTTTTTCTTCGGGTAACGAAGACGTTCAACGACAGAAGACACGGACTTAAGGTTTCGGCGCACATGCCCAAAACTGCGAATTTCTGAAGCTGTGATAGGATTAATTTATTAGTTTTGGGTTGCAGGCCATCTAGTACAAGGTACACCTTGAACTTCGTATGACTTTACCGAAGGTGTTTCCAATATGTTTGAGTTTGAATTATAAACCATAAATAAGAGATTGTCTCTGATATACAGGGGTATCGAAGCGACGAAGCCCCAGCCCGAGGAGTCAAATCCAGCCCTCGAAAGCATTACGTCCGTCTCGTGCTGGCCGCTGGTCCTTCCAAAGTTCCAATGAAGCCCGACCTGCATCCTACTTCCAGCAGGCCTGCCGCAACCAGCGCAAATATAGCGCATAAAAAAACGGCATCGCAACGACACAGTTTCTTTCTTATTGCTTGTCCTGTATACTTCTTGTCCCTGCCTTTTTTGCGCTGTTTTATATTTTTAATTAAAACGGCGTCGCAATGCGCATCAACCGCGTTAACAAAAATTCGCAGTCAAAACGAGAGAAAGCAGTCTATCCTATGGCGTATCTTCTCGTCATAACATTCGTCAGACATATCATCGCCAGCATTACCATTCATAGCCTCCTGTTTTATATCTGCGTAACTACGTATGGTAAAATTCCTTTTGCGGGTCCTCCGTCGTTCTGTGTCCTGCGTCGTTTCGATTGCCTTTTACAGCATCAGTTCTATCATTCCCATCAGTCTTGCGCACTGTGTGACCATGCCAAAGTTTTTACGCGCTTCGATTTACGCCTGGTGAGTTTTCTGTTTCCCAACTATTGTGCAATGTGATAATTAGCTATATATTAAAACTTCTAAATAAAGTGCATGTATTCATCCGCCCTAGATTCTCCTTTCTTATTCTTACCTTGAATGTTGCATTTGATTGCTTACCTATAATTTTATGTAGATTTCTTTTTTCATTTCCTTGTTTATTTCTGGCCCCCTAGACAGCTACAGATCACCGATGCAGCCATAAGCCAAACAGTTTGGAGCCCCTCTCGTCAGATTCACTTCTAGTCCCTGGTCAAAGAATGATACCTAAAAAATTATAAAAATGCATCTACAGATCGCAAGTGATCGGGGGCATCCTTATAATAGGTGGCGCCAGCCTGGTAGTAAGCTGCTACACGAGAACGCAACTCACCGGAGCACGCTCAAACGCAACTATGTGAGGCAGGTTCGTGCTCACCGGCATGGCCCCCGTTCTCGACTACGAAGGGGTAGTCCACGCCGTACCCGAGGAAGTAGAGGTCCTCGAACGACATGAAGCTGGTCTGCATGAAGTTGATGTCCACGGGTGACTGCATACTGCTGCCGCAGGTCTTGTACGTCAACTCCCATTCGGTCTCCTCTGGAAGGACAACGAGAGATTGTATTTCTTTCTTTTATATCAAATGAATATACTTGAGTTTGAGTCTAAGACAAATAGATGGGAGCGATGTAGCTAAGGGATTTGGCGCGCGGTGAAGTATGTTGTCGTAGAAAACAAAAGTTTTAACCCATAATTTGTAATTGTTTTTGCGTTTGTTTAGAAAGCGCGAAGTTAGTCAGCCCGAAGGGGCGTCTGATGTTGCCACTGTAGATGAGAAATTTTGCCAGTCCAGTAGTAGTGCTAGCCTGGGGTTTTCCACGTGCATCACGCAGTAGTGATATACGAGTTATATATTCTAGCTGAAAGCAACACATGCATAATACTTTGCATTACAAATATCTCCAATGCTGTACAAATTTTCATCCGCACAACCAAGGTAACACAACTTGTTGGCTTGTGTTGTTGGCATTTTCTTATTGGTGTATGTCTTGAAAGCTCCAGGCACGACTGGCATGACTACAAAACGTGCTTTGGGGGCAAAGTGCTCGGTCTGGGGAAGTGTGGTCTTTGATTAGATATGATGCACTTCCTATCGTCGGGGTTGTATTGTTTGTGAACTGAAGTTCCCACTTCGAAAGTTGGTTCACCTTTTGTGAACCAAGTGAATCCTTTGAGTGATTCAAACTGTATAAAAAAGGTTCGGCAACACGTGTTAAGAAAGAATGGTGTTACGACATCCGTGGTCAGAGTTAGGCGTGTGACCCTAAGTAAAAATTTGAGGAAATAAGCACAGTATATGAGTTTGAGGAGTTCTTTTTCCCGTGTCTTTCATATTTTGCTAAGTTTTTCCTTCTTTTATCAGAGGCTCGGGCAATTTTTAACATGATCCAGATCCAACAGCTCGCTTGTAGATTCACTCTACTTTCAATATCCGTAAGGAGCTTTTTTTTTTTTTTTTTTTTTTTTAAAGCTTTCGGGTGAAATCATTATGTAAAATATGACGCGCCTAAAGAATGCACTTGAAAATGAAACAAGTGTGTTGTCATGTCTCAAAAAGGGCCAGTAAAAATGTTTCAAAAAAGTATTTTTCTGCTTGACAATTTTGGCTGCTTATCTTTTCGCCTTCGGCTATAGTTGGGCTATTACTGCCAGCCGTTTCGCCGTTTGTTGGCCAGACCGTCAGGCAACACTGGGCGTTGCGGCTCCCAGTGTGCCTTCTGCGCCACCTACCAGAGGCCAGCGCGAGGCGCTGATTGGACACGAATGTTGCGTCAGTTCTCGGCTGACACTTGGCTCCATTCAGTGAGCGCACGAGTTCCAGCCGAACGCTGACGCAGCACTCGTGTCCAATGAACTGATGCTGGGTATCTTAACATCGCCCCTTATCGAAATAGGTTGCAGCATCAATGAATAAGAACGTCGATGGATGAATAACAAAGCAACAAGCGTTAACATAGTGAGCCTTCTAAGCGTGAACATAATGAGCCTATTAAGTGGGTAGATAATAATCCTTTAAAGCGTGAACAGTCTTTAAATAATGAACATGATAAGCCTTTTAAGCACAAAGAGTACTTTAAGCGTGAAAATAATAAGATTTTAAGCGTGAACACTATGAGCCTTTTAGGCGTGAACACCCATTTAAGCGTGAACATTATAAGCCATTTAAGCATGAACTTCCCTTCAAGCGTGAACATAATAAATCTTGCAAGCGTGAACGTAGGCTTAAGCGTGAAAATAATATGCTTTCAAGCGTGAACAGCTTTTTAAGCATGAACATACTAAGAATTTTAAGCATCAACAACATAAGCCTTTTAAGCAAAATTATAAGCCTTTCAAGCCCGAAGCCTTTTAAAGCGTGAACATAACGCCCTTTTAAACGTAAACGAAATTTTAAGCAGGAAAATAATAAACTGTTTAAACGTAAGCATAATGATCGACGCTCTGCGCTTCATTAGCTGTCTGTGTCAGTGGCAGAGGGCAACGCCACTGCCGCTTTTCGGCGTACTCTCCTCGAGGTTCATTCACTCTGCAGCTCAAGGACGCTTTTGCGGAAACGGGATGCACTTTCTCTAAAAGCATCTTTCAGGTAGTTCAGTTTCGTGGTACACGCCGCCAACGTAGTCTATGCTGGTGAAAGGAAGATCATGGATTCTTTGTGCGTTCCCTTTTGTGGGACTGTCATTCGAAAGGTACTACTTGCCTTTGACGGTCGTCAGGTTGGAACAATTGAGCCTGTGGTAAGTCCATGATTGGCTTTCGCAGTATTCGGGCTGCCTCCCTACGAAAAGTATGTTGTTATTGACATGACAATAAGTCAATGGACGAGGATATCTCGAAAAATAAGCAGCGTTCATTTTGTTCAATTACGGACTCAAAAAAATGAAAGACGTTTACAAATCTCTGCAATGCGAAACTAGAGCGCAGCTCTTGAGGAGACTGACGGTATAGGGTACGGAGGTAATAGCATGCCTCCCTCTCTTCCTCTCCTCCCCTCCTTCTCCTCTGTTCCTCCTCCTGCTCCTCTTCCCCCTCCTCCTCTCCTGCCTCTGAATTCGTTCATAGGTGACGTGACACGAAGTCGTGACGTCATTCTCCCCGCTAAGTTTAACGGGAAGACTGAATAGGTGTTGAGGTCACGTGACGTCAATTTCCTCGCGAAATTTAGCGGGGAAATTTTGGCGCTAAGTTTAGCGGGAAATTTTTCAACTAAATTTAGCGGAAAATTCTTCCGCTAAATTTAGCGAGGAAATTTCCCCGCTAACTTTTGCGTGGAAATGCCTCATAACGCAGCGCGCGATGTTACCACGACGGCGACGCCGCTCAACCCGTAAACGGGCGCCTATAGAGCTGTGCTATAAAATGTAGTGTGTATAATAGTGTAATAGCGTATCCACAACGGACTCTAGCGCTGAAAAACTAGCCGGAAAAATCTGCGCCTGCGCATCGAAAACTCGATTTCAGACCGAAGTTTATCTAGGCCTAGCACATGCAAGCCGTGGGGACAGCTATGGCGGCGGCTTCCCGAATGCGAGGGGAGGCCGCATTGCTCGAAGAGGGCGGTGATCCCTCGCCCTTTTGGACGAAAATGCCTCTGGCGCACCCTTGTGAATGATTGTGGACGCGACCCATCGGAGGGCTAAGCCACACCACCTACCTCGGGAGCGGCCATTCGCCGTAGGCTAGATAGGCCTGCTGCGAACGGAGGCCGAGACGCTCTCGTTGGGAGAGCCTGAGGTACTCGGAGCCTCATTATTTTTGGCGCTTCCTCCGTCCCACGGATCTGCCTAGTACGGTAGCGTGGGCCTCCTTCAGGTGAATATGTCTGACACGACAGCGCCGACATTTTTCCGTTCCTTTCCTGTATTTGTTTGGCCAACGGGCAAAGCATGGCGGCGAAGACGCCAATAAACCCACGTCTTTGGAATTCTTTTGTTTCGGAGTGACTCCTTCCCATCGGAGCTCACGGCAGTCTTCGAACGGACCCGGCCGTAGCACTCCTCAATAGCGACCTATGGAGTGGGATCTACCTCGTGGTACAGTAAGGTAAGTGGAATCCCACAAGCCACACTTAGCTGAAGCATGTTACCTGGTGAAATTTCAAGGTGTAGCTCCCGTCTTGGGAGAAATGGGGATCTAGATGCTTGCTATGGTCAACGGCGGACGTGTTCGCACAAGTCCGAATCAGCAGTTGTTGTAAGTTGTGGCACAATCTACCGGTAGACGCAGCGTGCAGATTACGGCTGTGACGTCTGCTTGCCGCATCTATCGGAGATGGTGAAATAAAACAAGCACGACCGTTGCTAACTTGGTGGCGTTGACTTCTGCCATTGATCGTCGACAGTTTTTTGGTTCAATTTTCAACCGGAAAAGAGCTGCGCCTCACAGCTTCGCCAGGTAAAATGCACCTGCTAAGTTCACATTATGAAACGTTGAACTTCCTGTGTTCCCGAACAATTTTTGGCGGCTCGCTTTAAGGTTGCACGCTCCATAATGGGCACTTTAGGTACAGTGGTACATGTATGCTCCATCAATCATATGAGCTTAAAACGTACCAGGAGCAAAGTCCAGAAATATAAATAATGGTAACCTGTAAACAACTCTGACGTCAGGCCTTCAGAGAAAAAAAAAAGTAAATGAGAAAAGAGAAAAGAAAAAATATGGCCTAAAAATTAAAAAAAAAGGAACAAGGCAGAGAAAGGAGAACCTGTAAAGAACTTGAAGGGCCAGTGGGAAAGGGAACGGTAAAGTCGAATGTCCCGATGAGGTCGGCAACACCTCCAAGAAAGCAGGACCGTGTGCAGTACTGGATTTTCTGCGCCACTTACCAGAGGCCAGCGCGAGGCGCTGATTGGACACGAATGTTGCGTCAGTTCTCGGCTGACACTTGGCTCCATTCAGTGAGCGCACGAGTTCCAGCCGAACGCTGACGCAGCACTCGTGTCCAATGAGCGTCCCGCGCTGGCCTCCGGTAAGTGACGCACAAAATCCATCACTAAAGCCTGCTGTAGACCAACTCAACTCTTTGACGTCACACCCCTACGGTGGCGCTGTTGTCGGAACTTCTTTGCACAGAAGCCTTATCTCACGCAAATCGGGTTTCTGCGCACGTGCAGTGCTTATCCTATATACTGACAAAGCCTGGCAGATCGAAACGAGAAGCAGCCGCCGAAATGGAAAAGGTGGAACGGCAGACAACGGATGAGAGGAGAGCCACGTGGCTGGCGCCCCGCTGCGGCGAGACGCCTAAACACACGTCTCCCAAGCGAACAAAGTGTGTTTCGGGTCCTCGCCGCTGCAATAGGGTGACCACCTTCCTGCCGGTGGAATGCGGGACACCCTGACCGGGGGGGGGGGGGGGGGGCGGGGGCGGAAGTAAGAGGAGGACGGTATTTTCACGACTCAAGAAATAAGTATTAAGGGAAATTCACCAACGCGCAGACCCCAAAATCCTGTGCTGTCCGAAAGCGTATTATACACCTGAAAATTGTACGCGGCAATTAAACTAAGATAAGTTTCACTCACAGTGATATACTTTTGTTTATTTGTAATGGTATATATTTTATTAAAAGTATCAAAGTTGAAAACATAAAGATCGACTACACCAGACCCCAATGCATCAAAATGAAATTTAAAAAAAACAGTAAATATTTTTCGCCTTATTGTTTCCTGTCGATACTTACTCTGATATTAACATGCTCCAACACAAAAATAAAACCTTATGTTGTCGTTGTTTTGACCGTTGTAAGTTTCAGGGTTTTTTTTTTTTCTTCTGTACCGTCTTCACTAAAAAAAAACAGCTTTCCACAACAACCCTTTCGCATGATACAGTATGATTTGCAACTAATTACAATAGTTTATTTTTCAGCTTTTGGCGAGCAATTTTCGCTTGCAATATTTTGCCATCAAGGGGAGAGGCACAACGGCGCATGTGCGTCAGTCTCCAGCGAGAACGACGGTTGCTTCCCGCAGTGCTTGGCAATGAAATACCATCAAGAATCGCACATTTATCAGCGA